ATTCTCCCCAGTCAGGTATTTCGTGTGGTTTGTACCGAGCTCAGTCTGGACTTGGGGCAGAAAACCGTGGCTGGGTCTGTGAGACCAGGTGGGGCAAATCAGTTTTGTTAGTTCAGTCCTTGCAGGAAGAGATGTGTTTGTACCTGGAAAAGCACTTCCAAGTCCTGTCTTTGAGGGAGTTGTTCCAGGAATCCACTTCAGCACGTGTGTGTACATCCGTAACTTTTCTCTGTGTTAAACGCACATCCTCTTGGGTGAAGCAAACCAAGCTGAGGCTGAGGTCCCTCGTTTGGAATACGAGCTGAGGGCGACGCGGTTTGGCTCGAGTTTGACGTTCAGGAGTGGATGGGGAGGGCGCTTGGCTCTCACCCTGCCAATCTGGGCAGCAGGGAGCGGGGGGTGTTGATCTTGACGAAGCCGTTGATTCTGGGTGATGTTTCTGCCAGTACAAACTGCAAAGGGACACTCGGAGGCTGCTGGGTCGCAGGGTGGTCTCTGCAGAAGCCTGACACACGCAAGTGTAGCCGAGGGCAAGGGGACCTTTGGAGAGCACGTTAGCGCTGGCACGTGTGGGCTGAGTGATTGAATAACTGGATCCCGCCGAGGTCTGCGGAGCAGTGCCCGCTGATACATGGAAAATGGGTAAAACCGGCATTTTCTTACGGTCTAGTGAAAGTGACTTTTGCCAGACATTTCGTGATGCCTTAAGAATACCTATTGCTGGTTTTATTGTTGTATCTCACCTTGTTGCGGGGGTGTGGGGCCAGCATGCAGTGTGCCACTGGGACAGGATCCCCATCCTAAAATCAAGGCTGTAATTCCAGTTAATTTGTCCACGTGAATTGGTCTTTCGAAAGTACAAATGTGCCGCTGTCCTTTAAGGAGCTTCCCCTTTGTCAGCTAGTCCCTTGCAGGAGGGGAGTCGAATTGCTCCTTATCTTTATTGCATTTTATTTTCCCTAGTATGTCGTTTGCAGTGGCAGACAGGAGTTCAAATGCTTGTGAAAGTTTCAGGGTTTTTCCTGCTGTTACTTTCGACTCGTGCACGGCAGCGCTGTGTGTGTTAGTGTAGCCTTGGGTAAGGACTTGGTTCTTACAGCGGCCAAGAATAAAGATTATACAGATGAAAGATTTTCTTCCTATGACCCTTGGTACTCTTCCAGTGCTCTGTTATGGAGATGGTCACAGAAAATGGGAATTTAAGGGAGTAGGTGCTCTCTGTCTTTGCCTGTGTGGAAAAGTATGGAGAGCACCTCTGCTTGCAGTGCAGAAGCTGGGGAATGTGGTTCCCCACATCATCTCCTCAGTTTGGAAAAATTGAAGAGTTTGGGACTTGTAGACACAGGCAGAAGTCATTCTAGAAGTAGTTCTGTTTGCAAAGGTAACTTTACCTCTATAGATGCGATCCTTGGGGGAGGTGGTATTTTCTAGCTGTCTGCCTGCTCTTTTAAATCTTTTTAAAACTTTGAGAATGAAATGACGTGCTGTATAATGCCTCTGTTCTAATTCAGATTAATAACTTGAAACTGGAAAATTCAGTAATGTTGAGGGAACCTGCTCAGTTGGTACCTCTTTTTGTCATTGGGAAATGTCAGGGAAGGGAAATGGGAAGAAGCTTTCTGAAGCACCTTGGCAGCCTCCGTGGCTTTTATCCCTGAACTAATTTCAAAACATCTCGTACTAGAGAGCTGGAAATATCAGGCCTGCCTGGCGAGCCCCTGCTGCAGGCAAACACGTTCACTGCTCTTTCCAGTACCTTTGATTTGTTTCCTGCCTGTCTGCTCACAGAATTAGCTTTCTGTGCACAAACAAAGGATCTCTTTGTGACTGAGACTTTGACTTTTATTTTTTGTTCAGTGTGAAGCACAGTAGATCTGACATTTTTACTGAGCTAGCATGGAAAAAACACCCATTTTGTTTTGGTTTGGGTTTTTTTAATATCCCCACGTGGAGCTTTCCACAACATCTCCGTGGCTTTGTTTCTGTAACCTGCGGAAGAGTGAGAGCTGATGTGTCTTACGGGTTTTTGCTGCTGGGATTTTGTTCTGTCCAGGAAAAGGTGAATCCAATAGGAACCGGATTTTGTTACCTGTGAGCAGTAACCATGACAGATTCCTGGAGATACTTAAAGCTGGAAAAAGAGGAACTGGATGTCTTTCTGTGGGGGAGCAAAAAAGCTCAGTGAAATAGTAAATTGATTTATCTCCACTAAATAAAGTAAATAATAAATAAATGATAAATCCAGAGGTGCGCGGCAACTTTTTTTGAAGAGAGGAGGAAAATTTCATCTCCCTCCTGGCAGCTGGTGAGAGGCAGCAGAAGGTGTTGGGGTGTTGAGTGTTTTCGTGGCAGCCCAGCCTTGAATTACCCATTTGGGATCATCTAATTAGATATTGTGTATGATTTTTCTCCTAAAATGTTAGTGCTACCCCTGATTTCTGTTTGTATTTCATAGCTTGTACTTAACCAAAGCATATCTTCTAGGAAGGCATCTGATCTTGATATGAAGGTGTTGGGAGGTGCCCACCACATTACACTGTAACTGTATGGGTTAATTGCTTTTACTAAGCCTTACTTTAATTGGAATTTAATTAGCTTTAATGTCCTCTGTTGATTATTGATGTGTTTTTGTCTCTCAAATAATTCTATATTGCCATCATGTGGATATGATGTTAGTTGCTGGGGTCACAGTGTGGTAGCAGATATGTGTGGAGCTCAGGAAGTTTAAAAAAGAAAAAAAAAGACAAGGGAAAGAAGAAAACAGAGGGAAATGTTGGGTAGAAGAGTCTGTGTGCTGACAGAGCTTTCAGAGGAATCGATTCGGCCTGTTTGGGGCAAACAGCGTTGGCACTGCCGCTGAGGAGATGGCAGCTGCCTCTGCCTGGGTGTGTCTCTGGTTTTGCTCCGTGTTGTGAGGAATCCTTCCCGATGGGCAGCACAGGGACGTTCCCTCGGGAGCGGGGGGACCTGTGTGCAAACCAGCCCTTCTGGAGCTCAAAACAAAGTGTGATTCAGCCGCTCCTTGCGCGCTGTTCTTATCTAAAAACAGACCTTGCAGCCGCGTGAGGTTTTCCAAAAGGCTGCCGGGAGCAGAGGTGATTTATCCAAGAGATCTGGGAGACAGAAGATCTGCACGTTGGCAGGAGCTTTTTTCTGTACCCTGTCAGGAAGGTTGGCTGCAGCACTTCCAAGGCAATATTCTGCAAGGTTTTGGAAATTTAACATCTGCTGGAAGTATTTGTTTTTATATACTATAAAATCTGGCTGCTTTGAAGCAGCCCCTGGTGAGGTTCTGCATTTTCTCATCCACTCTTCTCCTTCTCTTCCTGGTCAGAATTGACCAAGTTTAGGAATGTTGCTTAACTTGAGCAGAGAAATCTTGCATCAGGCGTCCGATGTGTCACCCCGCCTGTGCTTGGGTCGTGTCTGGGTATGTCCGGAGCGTCCCGGGGGCAGTCCTGCCCTCGGCCGCTGTGTTAACTCGTGTCGCAGGTTAGGGGAGCTGTCTCCCGAGAACTGTGTTATAAGCAGGTCATTGTCCTTTCCTGAAAGGAAGGGATTGCATAGTTCCTTCAAGTGAGCTAGAAATGTAGAAGAAATATCTTTATGCAGAGACCTCATGAGGGTTTAATGCCCCGCCTGGGCTTTAGGCCTGGCATTAATCCTCTGTGTCAGTTCCTTTTCTGTAAACACACTCCAGAAGTGTCGAGGAGAATGGGAAGAACATGGGTGCCACAGGGGACTGTTCTGGGGGACACCACGGCAGACCCCCGCTACCAGAGCCGTGCGAGTGAGTTTTCAGTGTCTGGTGAGATCAGAGGCTCGGTGTGCCCGGAGTGCAGAGGGTCGATCAGCTTCACCCGGGGAAGTCGCGTTCCTTGTGTGGTGAATCCTGCACATGGACACTTGGCGTTTGAACTCTGGCTCCTGCAAGCGCTGTCCCGGGGCTTGAATTCTGCAGCCGTTTACAAAACAAATCATCAACCCCAAAGATTATCTCCGTGCTTTCGTGCACTTCAATCCGGCATAAGGCACCTTCCTCCCGTTCCCGTTTATTGCTGTTTTTTACAGGGCCTGCTTGAAGTGTGTGTCACCTCTCACACAGGGTCACGCTGGCTCAGTGGAACTGCCTTAAACTAAAACCTGAAACAAAGATGTCAGCAAGTTTAAACATATAAAAATGTTTATTATTTAAAATAGATAATTTTGGAAACTTTGCTTAACTTGTGATCTCTTCAGAACTGATGAATGGAAACTTTGTCCTTTCTCCTCATTCAAAGGAAAACGACTAATTTGCTGATGTGTGCTTTGCTTTTTAATCCCGTGTTCTGGTCCCTCCATGGAGACATGTGCTATTGTACTTCTCTTACCGAGTGTTCTTTCATGAGAGGCACCAACTTAGGGCACGGAAAATGGACGTTACTATTTTGGAGTGCCACGAGTATGTACAGAAATTTAATCAGCGTTGGGCACCTTTATAGATGTGCTGAAGACTTGTTACTGATCTAAGAATAGGTACTTTTTTATTATCTCTCAGAGTTTAAACAGATTTTAAAACACAGCCTTCAGCTTAGAACCAGCAGCCACGTTTCTGTTGCGTTTCAGATGTCGGCGCTTGCAGCTCTCGGGCAGTGTCACAAACAAAGTACACACTTCGCTGGGGTTGCCACTGATTATTTTTATTTGTGATCTAGGTGGATGAGGTAGATCTCGTATCACAAACTGGTGGTTAACCTCTCATCTTTGAAATGTTTGAGGCCTGACCACTTGCTTTGGCCCCATGCAAAGTGAACCTCTTCGGTTCATGTCTCTAATTTTCAGGTATTACCAAGATTATAACCATGGTTGAATTTCTTTTTAAAGTTTCAAAACCCTCTCTACGTCCAAACAGAATTGTTTCTGTGTTAATTACGATTTTGATTTCGCATGTCAAAATATTAATCGATTTTAAATTGCTACTGATTTTTGTTGTATTTTCCTGTACCTTTTTCTTCACAATAACTCAAACGCTGTACTGCTGTTGAAGTAATAGATTTGTTGTACTCTCTATTTGTCATATTTTCTTAGAATTCCCAGCATGTGTCAGACGATGTGTTGGTATATGGAGGGTAGAGAGCTTTGACATTTGTTCTTTTTTAAAAATCTCTTTCAGAAATGCTTTTATGACTTTACCATTCTTTGGAATCAAGGAAAAAAAAATATTTCTTTGTGAAAAAGTTGATGAAAAGCTAAGATGGGACTAGTTGTTTCTGTTGACAGATTCTTTCTCTAGCAGTACCAATTAATGTAACATATTAAACCAGAGGCAAACCTTACTGTCTGTTCATTGAAATTTCGTTTCACTTGGAGAACTGACAAAAAGATAAATAAATAAATCCTTTGCATGGTACTCTCAATGATTGTTACTGTTTTTAATGTAGTTATTGCATCATTTCTGACAAACAAGGACAGTAATTCAGAGCAGTGGATAATGAAGGTGTGGTTCCATCCACTTAAGCTGATTTTAGTTTGTGCTGCAGATTGAACGAGGTCATGGCCTGTCTGCTCCATCAGGGCCCTGCTCCTCCTTTCCATCCGGGGAGCTGCTAGATCCAAATCTTCCCCTAAAAAAGAGATATTTTAAAATTTACTTATTATTTTTATTATACACTTTATTTGGAAAATAAAAGCTCTGATAGTAGTTTCCTTGAAAAAACCTGCAGTTTCTAAATGTGACAGAAGAATGAGTTCCATGAAGAGCAGCAGTTGGGATGGACCGTGGTCCCGTTCACCGGGAGAGCCCCCCGTCTCCGTGTGCTGCCCAGGGCTGCCTGCTGGGCTGCCTGCCTCCCTCTCGGTTCGGTGTTTAACTGAGTGAGCAGGACGAGTATTTTATAACAACAAAGCTTGAATTATTTCACTCCAACGCCCCAGTGTTTAAATGAGGAAAGAACTGGATGTAAGGTACAGAAAGACAGAAAAATGCTAGTGCAGAAAAACAAGCTGCTTAATGTTCCAGCTTTTTAGTATCTTGGGGTTTGTTGTGATTCTCGGTGACCTTCCCGGCCTTGGGTATTTTTGTATACTTTTAGGCACTGCTTTCTCAGAATTTTTTTTTATCACACCTCCTAGAAGTGGCTGTAGTTGGCACCCCCCCTTGCTTCTGGTGTGCTGCCCAAACTCCTGGATAATTCCAAGGGTGTAATACCGGGTCTGCTTAGCTCGGCTCTTTCCAGTCTCCGCAGGCTCGGGTGCGGGGAGCATAAGCCTTTCTGCGTAATTCCCGTAGTGCTTACCTTGCTGGGGATGTTCTTAGCTGTGTTGGCTCCCTCGTGCTGTATTATTTTAAAGTGTACATGGAGACTCAAATAATCCCTCTTTATGCAGTTTAATGTGTCCAGACTGACTTCGCTCGTACTTCTGTGCGCTGCACGTTTTTCTGGCTGCTGTCCATGTGTCACTTTTTGTCTTGTTCCATAGGACTGTGGATTTCGATTTTATTTTTGTAACTCTCAAGCTGTGGAAAGATACAGTGTGTATTTCTGCTTATTTTTTTTTGCTCTCACAGGTAGGTTTGTGTGATGCTCTGCTACCTCCAGCAGCTGCCATCGCTTTGTCACTACTTGCAGTTTTCTGGTTAGAGCTGCCAACTTGCTCTTTCCAGGAGACAACTAATCTAGAAAGTCTTTCATCCTGGCTTCTGGATTTCCTGCTAGGCTGAGAATATGTTTACATGACTAACCACCTTGAAAACTTGCTACAAGAGAATCTGGCTTCAGTTGGAAAAGAAAAGTGAGCTCAAAGGGAAATGATGAGATATGTAGGTCCTGGTTTGTCACTGAACAGGGGAGCTTGTTGGATTTCAAGTTGATGGTTGCGGCACCAAAAATAAACGGAGAGGAGGGTGTGTGAAGCTCTGAAACTCTGACCGTTCACTTTGCTACAGACTCTCCACAGGGATGAATGAAACTAGACCATCGCTGTTCTGGTGCAGGAGTTTCTAGATGTGTTTATCTAAGTGCTAATAACTGATTGTTTTGGCAATTTACGTGACACTCAATGCATCCCAAAAGCAATTGACTTCATCCAGGTGTTCAGATGGTGAGATGGAAGACAGCATTTCTGGGTTTATTTTAGTAGCCTCTTAGATAATAGTTTCAAAAAAGTCAACAGTAAACCGAGGCATGAAGTCTAGTGCCTTGCAGTTAACACAGCCCTGTTCTGTGATCAAACGGTAGGTTCTCTTTGCATTAATTATTTACCCACATAAATGTGGGGAGCAGCCCCTGCTCTGGTGTAGGTGAATCGGGGCGTTCGGCTCGGTCCCTGCTGCGCTGCCTCCCTCGAGAGGACTCTGTTTAGTTTTCTAAACTACTGCTGGTTACCGAATAGGTGCCGGGTCACGTGAGTGTTGGATGAATGTTAAGTATGTGATGTCTGCATCACCTGGGACTGGGCATCCTGGGAGGAGAGTCAAAGGGAAAATGCATCTGCTGAGCCGGAAGCCTGCTGCCGCAAAGCCTTTGCCTGATGTTTTTGACATGTTGATTCCTTGCTTATTTTGAAAACCCTCGTGGGTCCTTCTCTTTTTTCCTTGCTGGAGCTGGTTAGTTGTGTCCTCTGGGCTGCATGGAAGGAGAGTGTTAAATGCTGGACACCTTTTTAGCAGTGGCAGAAGAGGATTGCATCTGCTTATGAGGTATAGCATGTGTTTTCCAGTGGGATTAAAGGGATGCTGTGAGAAGTGGCTGTGTTCTGCATTAGAATGAAATTGTAGTTCAAAATGATTCTTACCTTCACTTTCAGAGCAATTTTAGGTAGATTACTGGGTTTGATGTTTAAAGGTAAGTCAGTGGACTTCTTAGAAGTTCATGGTGATCTCTGGCTTATCATGCACCGTACCACTTGAATATAAACAAACTTTGATCTTTTGGCATAAAATGGAAATGTAATGCTTAAAATAGCTTATATTAAAATATAATGTAAAAATAAAATGTAAAAAGGGACAGTATGTGTGAATACTTGTCGTACACAGTCATTTTCATTCATAGTTTTTCTGTTCTCTAAGCTTGGTGCTTTATACCTCTGTTATTTTAGTAATTTGTATTCAGAGGTGTTGTGTCCTCTAAAACAGAACTTGTCTTTATGATTTGATCTTAAATGACGCCAATTCTCTTGCTTGCGAGCTGAGGTCAGAGGAGTTTTCCACTGAAAACAATAAATGGTTTAAAGGTTTAAATGGTTTAAACCGAGTCCTTTCTCGTTAGGAAAGGACTTTTCAACTTTAAATAAAGAAAAAACGCAGACAGTGTGATGTGTGAATGTGATATATGTTGTAATCTGTAGGTGTACACGTGTGCCCATCAGCTAGCTGCAGCAGTTAGTTCTCTTCTCATCTCCCAGGTCTGGCTGTGTGTACTTAGCGCTTTTTTCTTTCACGCGTAAGCGCTTTACCAAAATCAGTCGAAGCAAAGGGACTCTCGTGGATGGGGAAGAGAGAACTTGTGACTCTGTGTACACCAGCCACGTTCTGCCTGTACCAGTGCAGGACACCAGCAAGGTCACACACTTTAGCAGCACAGAAGCACAGGCACCAAGCTGTACTGTGGAGCTTTGCTGACGGGCTGTTCCAGCAGAAACCCCTCGGGTAGCCATGGCTGCGCGTGGTTCTGCGGGCACACACCTCTAGCCATCAGTCTGTACCTGCTCCTCACATCTAAAGTGGAATGAAACTGTAAGGATTACTGGAAACAAGGCGCCTAGAGGCAGCATCGTGATTCTTGCAATTGCAACTGGTCTCATTCAGAGATTTTTTTCTTTTTTTTAATGACTAGCTTTTCTTGTAATGTGTAATTCCCCTGTCTGGAGTGATTCCCTTCTGTTTAGTCATAAAAGTCTGTTCAGGCTTCTGCAGTTTTTATTAACAGGCTGTGAAATAGAGCTGTGCATCAGCACCACCAGGTATATACCCAACAAACCAGGGGAGAAGTCTGGAGGGTTTTAGATCTAAGTATTAGCACAGTTGGTGCTAATTTTTTTCAAGTTGCTGTTGTTCACTTGGCAAGTGTTTGTCCAAATGTTCCTGAACTCAGAGCACTGGGGGGAAAATGAGCAAGGCTGTTCTGTGGTGGGCGTCTGTCGCATGCTGGTGCACCATGGACTGTTGGCTAAACCCGTGCTGTTGTAAATGCTGTTTTCTGTGCTGTACAATACATAAAACTTCAGTATTATTGACTGCTCTCTGTGTGACACCTGCTGAGGCTTCACTGACAGGTGAAAATAGAAGCTTTTCTGCTTTCTGATGTCAGTTTTCTCTTTTCTGAATTTTAGGAGAGCTCATACCTTAACAGTCCTGTTCATCCTCACGTGTGCGCTGGGCTACGTAACCTTGCTTGAAGAAACGCCCCAAGACACAGCCTACAACACAAAGAGGTAAGTGTGTGAGAGAGCCTTACTGTGTGGACAAGGTAACGTACACGCCCTTACCTTGTGCATAAGCACCTCCAGTGACCTCTGCATTGACTTGTTTAATGCCCAAACCCTTAGAAAGTGACAGAACCGAGCATAAGTCTGTAAGCTCCTTTGATGCTGGTCACTGAATTTAATTTCTAATCAGTTTAGTGTCACTCACTGTCGTACCCGGTGGCTGCCATGGGTGTGATTTAAATAAAATATGAAACTCTCTTACTCAAAGTACTGCCTGTGTTTCTTTGGCAATGATTCTGTCTCTTTTGTCTTAAAATAACCGAACTTTCCAAATTATGTGAGCTGTGACTAAATTTTTCTGACTTAGGTGCTTTTTGTAAAATTATGTTCAAGATTTCAAAACAGATCATTATTTGTCGTTGAAAATTAACATGAGAACTCTTGTAAAATAAGAATGAGAGGAATCTTACATGTGTGGTCCATTTCTACCATAACTCAAACTGATTAAATGTAGTCTCATTTCCCTTCTTTTTAAAGAAATACAGTAGGGAACAAAAAGGGGGAAGAAAAGTGATCTTTTAAAAATTAAGGGGTTGCTTACAGAATGCAAAGCATCCTTGCTATAGGCTTGAAAATAATTGTTCTCTGCCAGTCTGGTTTCTTAAATACAAGGCTATGTTTTCCCCTTGCTATTAAAGAGTTTCTTCCTGTTTTTTTATATTTTCTTTAAGTGGCTCAGGATATAGTATTGGTTGGCTTGGAGATGCAGGAATGAGGGGATGTCCTGGGATCATCTTGGCTGCTGTTCTCTGGTACACACTGGCTGTAGCTCACCATTGCCCACCTGAGGGTTGTACTTTTATGTGTGGGGGTGAAATGGAACACGTTGGAGCACAGTGCCCTGTCTGGAGCTGGGAAAACTTCTGCAAGGCTTTGGTGTGAACAAATGCCATTTTATCCCCGGTTATAATGAGTGAGTCCAGGGAAGGGCTGGAGGGGTGACATTCTCTGCAACGACAGTTCAGAATAAAGAAGGGGAAAAGCTGAAAGAGAAATGATGACAGATCATTAGGGGGTAATACAGGTAGAAGGTGACTCAGTGGAATATCTTATTATTGAGATTAGAGCCTTTACTGCTTTAATAAAAACAAAACCTGAGAAGGTTAATCAGCAGATTAACCTTTCTTTTGTGAAATAGAAGTTGCATTCTGTATATTCAGTGCAGGGAATAATGTGCCCAGCTGTTAAAATCGATTTACCAGGCAATGAGTAGTGAATGTTCTTTGATCACTTCTGTATCTCTGATTGTGGAATACTGCCTGCAATATTTAGATGCAAAAATACTCGAAAAGCAGCATCCTGAGAATTGTATACCATCTTCCAAATACTGCTTTTTGTTATTGGTTTTGAAGGATACCTCTCTGTTTTCACTCCTGCTGAGCCCTTATGCCATAGTCGTTCAAGCTACACGCCGAATCCTGAGATGGTTGTTAACTCAGCCAAGTCATTACTTTTTCCAAGCTAAAGATCAGTGCAGACATGAGTCCTGTGGGCCTTTCCTAAGCTTTACCTCTTGCCTTGGCCCTGGTGTACAGAATGGATGGAAGTGTTGGTGGTGTTCAGCACACTGCTGCTGCTGAGTCAGTTTTCAGTGAACTCCTACCTGGTCTCAGTTAAATCTCGTTTCTGAGGTCTTTGAGGTGAGTGCTGTGCCAAATTTAGCACCATCAAGCATGAAGGGTTCCAGTTCACTTCATGTCCCAGCTGTTGTTTTTACCTTCTTCAGCATTCGTGTGCCTGCTGCTCTCTTGCATCTCATTGTTCCTGACCAATTTTATGTTGTTCTTTAAGTATATATTTGAACAAAAAGAGGCATTTTGGAGCAGGAGTGAGGTGATCACAACATGCATAAGTATATCCATATCCCAAATTTTCAGAGATTTTTTTTTTCACTTCCATAACTTAAAATACTTTACCCTACCCTGAGATCTTTTTCTGTCTTAATGTAGAGCTGTTGTGTGTTTTGATCTAAAATTTTGGCCAGCATGAGGCTGTCACTGTGTGCAGATATTTCATGGGAACACTTGCCTGCTTAATGAACAGAAGTAGTTTTATTACCAACGAGCAGTGTCTCTAGCTGTCATGCTTTTTTATTTCCAACTGCTGCACAGCGACAGTGGAGCAGTGTTTCAGTGCTTAGGTGCAGTGTCTAAGCACAGCCTTGCAAACACTCCTTTGTTTTCAAGCTCTTGCTGAGAGGAGCCTGTGAGCTGCATTAGGTGCTTCGAGCAGAACATTACATTTAAGCAAAGTATACAAGTTGCTGTGCTAGCTACTGGGTTCCTGGGCTAACTAAAGCTATAGGAAGTTATCTGAGGCTCCCATCTTCTCCCCTATAAAAGTGCTTCATCCGGTCACTTAGAAGAGCAGCTGAGGGCAGGGTGAGCGGCTGGATTCATACAATAAATCATCAGGAGAAACAATGGGTAAAAACTGAATTAGAGCATCAGCCTATGAGATCAGGGGCTGTGGTATCTATAGCCAAGATTTGTATTTACATCTGTTTATATCCTGACATTTGAGTGCCATTTTCCTTCCTGCATCATTAGGGCAATTAAAGGAGGATTTTTTTTTTTAAGATAAGATATATAGAAATGTTTTTGACTAATCTACATAAAAGTTAATTAGGATCACACGCACACAGATGTTGATGTGATTGAGTGATAGGTGTGATCAGGTTGCCTCTGTTGTAAAGACAGTTGAAGATTTACTTTGATAGCCAAAGAGATGTTGTGCTGCAAAGCCTGTCTGATCAATGAGACTTTTTATTCACACAGTTCCTACAGTGTTCAAAGCAGCCTTGAAATAGTCCATCCTGTCTGTCTGTGTCTCCTCAGCACCCAGGAGGAGCTGACAGGACTGAACTCCAGCTCTGAGGGTAGCTAAATAAATATTCAATGACCTCCTTTGCATACAATGGCTGTAGAAGAAATCCACGTCTCCCAGATACTTTGAATGCTGAGCAGGGCTTCTTGGGGAAAAAAGTTAATTTTTTTTTTCATATAAAAACATATTCGAGTTTAAAAAATCCTGTATGCATCAGAGTTGTACACTGAATTTCAAGTTACAAACAGTCTCTCTTTGAGGATGCCTTTCTGCACTAGTGTTTGGCAATAACTGATCACTGCTCAGCCAGGTAACAAATCCAGGTGTATGTGTATTTGCAAGTTGATGGTCTCCAGCTCCTGTTGCCGAACACTCACTGAGAAAACGAGGAGACTCAACCTCCATCTGCCAGTCCACCCGTTCTGCAGCTTGTGATGCCACTGAGGGGGTTGTACCAGTCACACCACTGGAGATGCAGCCAGGGAAGGGACGGGGAGTGGGAGCTGTCTCCTTAAAAGCCTAGAACAAAGAACGATATCCAGATGCTCACAGACAAGCTTCATTGTCTTGAGTCTCTGAATCGACTCTTAAAATAACACAAACAATAGCTGGTTTGTACTGATGAAACCATTCCCATGTTCTCCCTTTCTTATTTGGTTAAGTGCTAAAATTATTTTTGTAGACATGCTTTACTATTTAGTGTCTTCCTGAGCTGCTGCTCAAGAAAGTCCATCAGCCACATCCATCCAGGCTGTCTGCAGGAGTGGTTTGAACAGTGACGTACCTGGAGCTCCAGCTCATTTCAGCACCGCTGCTGCATCTGCTCCTTGGCTGAGAGTGGGTTTAGAAAAGGGAGTGTAACTGTAGGTTCCTGTGGTCGTTTAGATGCAGGACATCTCCAGCTTCAGGGAAGTTATCCTCACAAGGCCTAAACCAGGGATCCTGGACATCTTGGTTCATGGCTGAGTGTAACGATAGTGATGGAGAGATGTGTACTGTTACATGGCACACGGAGTACGAGTTGGTTCTTTCCTGGGTTAATTTCAGTCCTTCAGTCCTTGCGCCATCTC